ATTTTTTTTTTTCTGTGCACAGTGTAATGTACTTAGAGATATATTTTTTATTTACAATGTGGGAGGTCAATCATAAATCTGTGATATCCTTCTGTCTTTTTAGCATTTCCATAACATGAGCATAGTAATTTCAGTTAAAGATCTTTCTGGATAGTAAAAATAAGGGGAAGATTTGTGTAAATATGCAGTTCTTTAGAGCAGTGGTGAACTACTGAACTACGTACAGGGGTGACAAGATGTAAATTGTAGTAGTATCAGAAATAGGAAGAGTTAAAGATCCCACACTCCACCACATGTGCAGTAAAGGCAAAAGTAAAGCTTACTCCCCAAGGAACCAGAGGTTAGAAGAGAGGGATACATGGGTGTGTGTATGTATATCCGTACAGACACATACACTCCAGAGTGAAAATATATATGTGGGTGATTGTTTGAGTGGGATATGTTTCAGCCTTAGTGACTATGCTTGTAGAGACTTCCCTCTCTACAAGCCCTTTATTTCAACAAGCCTTATATTTGCAACTTATCCTGGAGACCCAGGAAAATGAATGAATGAATGATGCTGCCAAGACCTGATTTATGTCTGGTTTCCTTTGCAATTATGCAGTACTTGGCAAAGGTGAGGATGAAAATCCATGGTTTTAGTCAGCATGGGATCATCTCTTGGGAACAGAGATGCTGTGCTCCTGTGAGCAAAACAATGGTGCTTTCCCTGGCTGTCTCACAGCCAGTCCTGAGAGCCTGCAATGGGAGTCTGTCTCTGAGCTGAGAAAACCATGTGAAGGGATCTTTCTGCCATGAAAACAAATAGCTCAATTCTGTCTGAACAAAAACTCAAAGGTTTTTTGAAGGCTGTCTTCATATTTTGTGATTCAATAAGAACAGTTTTAAGGGGGAAAGAATCATCCTCCTGACATGAAGTAAAAATTGAACATAACTTTAGGGAAGAAATTAAACTGATCTCAGCATTATCCCATAATGGATAGTGTAGAAAGGGGCTCAGTCATTAACAATCTTAACTTTCCCTAGTCCTCGTTATAGAAGTAATAGCTACTTGAAAGGCCAGTTTCAACTGAGGACTCAGGAAGGGGCAGATGGGCTTTATTGTGGCAGGTACCAACATCACATCACCATCCAAGTGGAGAATGGAGTCTGTGTCTCAGGGCAGAAAACCCCCACTAAATTTTTGAGAGCTCTTGTAAGTGTAGGGAAGGGACTATCTCTTTCAGTTGTTGGCAGCAGGTTTGAAATTGCTGGCAGAAACCCTCAGCTGAACTGTTACTCTTTCATTTTTAACTATTAGAAGACAAATCAGAAATACAAGAAGAGAGGGTTCACTGGGTGGTAGTAACTTCCATATATATTTCTTAGTCCACTTGAGTATATCTAATGAAGCCTTTCTCATTCATAAGGCACTCTCTCACTGGAAAAGGACACATACATTTTGTTTCCATAAACTGTCCAAACCTGGGATGCTGAGTGTTGAGATTCAGATGGTGGTCAGGATTTATTAGTACATAATTAGTACAGTCCTGCCTTTCTTTTTAAGATCTGGCCAAAGACTACATTTTAGTGGGAGAACAGATACATGTCATGTAACAAAGTAAAAGGGAGTATTTCTGCTCTAAGACAGAAATAATATAAGCTGGCACATCCTGTTAATTTCTGAGGAGGAAAAAGGACCTTGGGTAGCCTTTTTACAGTCCATTAAGATTAAGATTTTTTTATAAAAAAAACCCCACCAACCCATCAAAAAATCCCCCATCACTCCAGGTCTCCTATTTGTGGTCTGACATCCTGGAATAACCTGAGTCTTCTGTGCGTGTAGTCAGAGGTGAGAAACTGCTGTTAGTTCAACCTGATTTCTCCAGTCCCCAAGTCTGATTTCTTCCTGACACAGGAGAGCAGCACTGTATCATCCTTTTTGCTTATGATTAGCGTGTTCTTATGGCCAGAATGGGGTGTCCTTGGACAAAGACCTGGCACAGGATCCTGAGATGTCAGCATGTCAATAAGGAGGTGCATCTCCAGTCCCTGTGGCCCCAGAACCTCCCTAAACAAGCAGAAGAGTATATATTACTGCAGATTTAGGTAGGAGCTGGGATAAGACGAACAAATGTCAAAATCCTTGTGAGGCAGAGTTCAGAATTGACCGTGAAATTATTTACAGAATAATAGGCTAACTTTGGGTAAGACACAGTCTGAAGCCCAGCCAAATAGCTGAGTGAGGCTGGTGTCAGGGTTTCACCATCAAGGGATTCTTGGCAGAACAGAAGTAGTAACTGTCCACAGAGGGTTGTAACAAATCTTTAGGAGAGGTGTTATTCTCTTTAGGAATTAGCTCAATTATTCTATCTGATGAATGTGAAATTTGTCAAATATCCAGTATTGGTAACAGCTAGCTATTCAGGATCCTCAAAAAAGCAACCAAATAGCTTTATTTTAAACTGAATGCAACTAAAAACTCAGTCATAATCAAAACAAAGAAGAAAAATCGTTTTTACCTGTAGTGAGAAATAGGCAATGTGGCACAAACACATAAAACCAGAATTCCAAGTCATTCAGCAGTGCGAAACAAAACACTAAATAGCAGTGGCATGAAAAAATCTTTTGGGGTGGTGTCTGGGATGGTGTCACAGAACAGCTTTTTACTGGGCTCTGAGGAAAAGTTCAGTCCCTCATGATTGCTGGCTGCACATATTTTCCCAGTCTCTCTTGGTCCCAGCTTTTGCAGGTGAGAACCCTTCATGAACTATAGGTCTGGAAAACTTAGAGCACCTGGGCAAAAGTTAGGTAAGTCAGTCTTCTGACCTCAGGAAGGAATGGAAATCTGGATGTAAGCTCCATCTTGCACTTGTGAATGGGCTACAACCTCTCTGTAACTAGATATGAGTTTGCAGTAGAAATATTACTTGTTGGGATCTGAAAAGAAAAAAAAAATGTGAAGGACAAGGCTGCAGTTATTCTTAGTGTATCTTTTCCTCCCATGGCTTCAAGGCCCCAGTAGGTAGGTGGACTGAAGCCCTTCATGGATATATGTATCATGCTTATTTCTGAGGAAGAAAAGGTCACCAGGGGTGAAAATGCTTAAAATAATTGTTGAATTTCCACTCAGTTGAGTAACAGTTTATTTATGCACTTTCTATTATGTGTAGCACTCTGGCCAAATGTGCTACACATCTGCCATTGGAGCTAACAAAAATTTTTGTGTCATAAGAAGGATATACCATTGAGAACTGTTTATAGTCTGTAAGGTGTTCTGAGGCACTGTCATCATTGTTGACTTCTGTCCTAGTTTCCTTTAGTGCCATGTCCTGACTGGGAAACTGCATGGGTTCCAGGTATCCCCTCAGCTGAATGAAATACTAAAGTCTAAGACTCAGTTCTCATTCATTAGTCAGTTTACTTATGAGTCCCCAGACTTTAATATATATTGGTCCAAGCCCAAAGTAATATAGGTGGCAGTTCAATTGATGACAGAATCTTCCATAATATTGCAAGGATTATTTTAAAGTTGTTGTATATTTTTGTGAAATGGAAGTGCATATACAGATAGTAGTTATGAGCACAGAGCCTCACCACTCTTAAAGCACAGGTGAAATTTGCCATATGCAATACTTCTCAAATTTCTTAACAACCTCAGGCGCAGCCATCCTCAAAAATTTAAAGATTATATCAAGAATTCTATAGAATGGCTTGATGTAATACCACTTTTCTGCAATAATCCCTTAAAAATGACACAGTAACATGTACGACTTCTCCCATGTCACGTATCTGAAGTTTATGCCATCAGAATTGTAATTCAGACATTCGAACCAGTTTGGAATACCAAACAAACAGAAAATATCATCATCTTTACATAAAACAAATAAAAAGTCTGACCCAACTATGTTTGGGCAACAAAACACCAAAGAAACACCAACCCTCCCCTCCCCCAAACAACAGACCACAAAAAAACCCCTCCACATTAATGCATTTTTCTTCCTAATAAGTAAAAATAAACTAAATGAACCATCTGTGTCACTTTTTCCTTTAAAATTTATGGCATATACATAGAATATGTGACTGTGATGTACTGCAGTGATTTTCATTAATTTTTGGGGTAACCTTTATGTTTACTGCTCCAAAGTAATTCCAATCTCATGCCAACAAATCACTTAGTACATTCTTTGAGAAAAGATCCTTCTTTTACTTAGTGTGTAGCACAATAAAGACCAGGATCTTCTGGATAAGACTGTAGATGCTGCAGTAGTATAAATTAATAATAAGAACTGTGAATGAGTTTTATGTGACAGTATGAACTCTTATAAGACTTTTTCTTAGATAAACATTTAGTACATCACGCTTATGTAAAGCTGTCTGTTCAGAAACTTCCTTCTGCATAAAGCTGCTCCATATCAGACATCTCTGATTTATACTAGTATATGTTAAGACAAATGATCACTATGTAACTGCAGGGAATTAGGTTAATTTAGATTATTTTGCTATAGGTTCTTGACTTTTGCAGACTTTCTATTGAGCTCCCAGCCGGGTTGCCTTCCAGACAATTGCCCGGATGAGATTTTGGGGCAGGTGTTAACTGTGGAAACCTACTTAGTATTAAACGTACCTGTCTCATCGCTACTGACTTTGGAGACGATACTTTTATATTTTTTTTTCTGGTCATTGTTCTTCACAAAAGACCTAATTGAAAATATCTGTCAAATCATGTCTCTGGTTTCCTGCTTCTTCCCCCCAACTAATTGGACACGTATTGTGTTTGTGTGGGAAGGAAGGAGGCTCTATAGCAGTAGAGCAATATTGCTGGGAAAAGAACATTAAAATGGATAAAGGGATTTCCTAGTGGTATAAATACCTGCACACGACCTCCCTGTGCTCTGGAGGCCTCCTGTATATGTATATGCAGGTAAAAAACCTGGAATAGAGATTGAGCTGCAGTTAATCACGCAGGATCTGTTCTGTTAGAAAACAGGGGCAAGTGGCTCTTTTACCTGTTTGAGGGTATGACTTGCCAAGCATTTTCTTCATCTGACACCTTTGTACCCTTGAATTCTGACTCTTCTCCCTCTCTGCCTCTGATAATGCATCACAGCGCTGCAGAGTGCCTGCCGGTTTCTAACCATGCCACCAATGTTGTGTCTCCAGGTACTTTTTAAAAATAATCTTGCTCTCAGTAACTCTCATTTGTAATGCTTTTGGATTATATGTGTTCATTGAGTTCTGCAATATTTAAAGTGTTTTGTATCAGTGCTATGTGTGCTTTGGACTACAGTAAAGTAGAAGCATTTTCACAAAACTCTGCGTGATGAGTAAATCAGGAAAACCCCAAATATTTGTCTTTTTAGCTTAATCTGTAGCTTTCTCTAAGTTTGTTACAGGATTAAGCTCAAATATGTTACCAATGCATTAACTTAGAAAAGGCTCAAACACTGTCACTGTTGTTATAACTATATAGTCTTCAATGACAAGTGTCATGTAAATTAATTGAAAGTTTATTTATTATGTAACCACAATCTAAAATAATATAAAATACTTTAATATAAATACTTTAATAATATAAATACTTTTAAAAATATAAAATATAAATAATATAAATAATATAAAAATAAATCAGAAATTTATTTAAAAGAGGTCAGTTCTAAATATCAGTTGGTGAAGCTTTCAAGGGAAAACATTGCTTTACAAAGCATATTGCATACTGAGCCATGACTAAGATTTAAGTGGAATGGTCAGAATTGGTGGCAGAAATCTCACCAATATTTTTGAATTGTATGTGTTTGTGTATATAATGATTAATTGCATTTAAATACTAGGACATGTAATCATTGAACTGCCTGAGAGAGACACAGAGAAAGAAAGTTTTCTTACAGCATTAAACTTGCAGAAGTGGGATTCTGGAATACAGGAATTGGTGGAAATCTTTAGGGAACAGAAAAAGAGATAATTTTGATTTATTTGAAATTGCACTAAGGTAAAAATTTTATTTGGAGTCTTAACAAGAAACTAGCCTTCTCTTGAAATGCATTGGTAATAAAACATTTTAATAATAAGAAAAAGCATGTAAATAATGAAAACTGAGCATTGGTGATAGATAACAGGATCTTATACATTAAGCAGGAGTTTCAAAATATCCTAATATGGCTGCTGGTTAGCAGTGGTAGTAGGTAATAGGAGAACTTAAATTTTGTATGAGGCCAAATTTATATCTGTATCATAGTATTTTCTAGATTCATCTGTTTCATAATAAAAAGTGTATGTGACAGGCAGCCAAAAGAATTGCTTGTCATCTTCAGATTTGGGGTTTGATATTTTGTAGTTACCACCCAAAAATACTGCTGTAGTCAGTGTGAATTTTGTTTGCAGCATCACTAGTAGGTGATCCTGCGAGAATGGAAGCAGTGACAGAGGGTGCTGACTATGAGTAAAGGTTTACAAATTTCATATATAGATTCAGAAATTGTAATAAACAATAGCATTCTGATGAAAGCATCTAAGGAGAATTTGTGCATAAAAACATGAAATAATTTTGAATAATGACTTATGTTAAATATAAAAATTTTAAAAAATGCATGTAACAATTCTGCATCACAGAATAGAGGTGAGTATACTTCTGTTCAAATACTATATCATGTCGTAGAGCTGATGTTCTGCAGTATTCTCAACACTTTAACCATTACTATTTAATTTAAATAGCATCATCTTCACTATTTAATTCTACATTCTCATTAGCAAGTTAAAAATTATATTTTCATGCATTAAAATTATAGTCTATGGATTATGAAATAATAGAAAACAACAACAGTGAACCTGAACAGAAAATCTGTATTACTCGAAATGCATTAGTATTATTAATGCAGTCTTCATTTGGGGGGCATTTATACCAGTATAAGCATGCCTGTTTTAGTAGATTTTATTTACGTATAGGTATATCTAAACAGAACATTTTACTGTTATGATTACAGTTGCAAAAAACAGAGATTCTGATCCTTAATTAATTATACTGTTTTGAACAACTGGAATGTGTGCTCTAATGTGCAGTTTACCATATCTGAATGCTCACAAACATGAATTTTTAATATTACACTTTATAGCAGTTGTTAGAAGGGACAGTATATGCATTTCTGTGTCTACTTATGCATGAGAAGCAGACACATCTCATTTTGTATTCGGTAAAAAATTGTCACATTCTTCAGGCACTGGCAATTACTGAGTACACATCTGAAACACCCCTGTAAAAACACTGGTCATAAATTGTGTGTTTGTTGCTGCTGCTGATGGAGAATGTTGATTTAGGCCTAACTTTTCAGAAGAGTCCTGAGTCTATCATTCTGTATCCCCACCACCCTGCCAAAGCACTCTGAAATGGTTTTGGTGGCTTCGCATGTGACTTCTGGATGCCTCGGAGCAGACGTCCCAAACTGCTGCTTTTGGAAACCCAGGTCTTAGGCATGCATAAAATATTGCCTGCCTTGATGCCTGTGTTCAATGTGGAGCTTTCACAGCGGTGAAGCCAATCAATTTTCTGGGGACACAGAGCAAATTTTTATGTAAGATTAAATGAAATAGCATGTGGAAGTTGCATGGGGAGAAGAGTTCAATGCTTCCCTTGCTCAGCAGTATATGTAAACTTAGATTGTACTAAAAATAATGCATCAAGGCCACAGCATGACAATTTCTGGTCTTGGCTTAGACAGTATCTCACTATTTATACTGGCAGTCTTCTCTGGTGTGACATGGCCAAGTGTCTGGGCCTCCAGCAGTGTTAACCTGATGGATATGGCCCAGAGTTAAATGGTTACTGAATGCACACAAAAACTACATACAAGGATACTGTCTGCCTCTGAATGTAAAGATTGTGTCTTGAATCCTCACACATTTTCTTACCAGTCTGGTCTGTTTTGTCTTTGATCCAAATTCCTATATGCTCCCATATCTGCTTTGCCATGACGACTCTGGGAAATGCTTCAGCAGGCCTTCATTACTCTGTGCCTTCCTGTCATTATGGAAATCAACCATCTACCTATGGGGTGATGGCAGGTAAGAGACATACCATCAATTGGGTGAGCTATTAGCATGTTGATTTTGGTCAGTTTTCCTTTAGAGGGACCAATTCAAGACAGTTGCTTAATACAGGACTGGGGTTAAGGCACTAGAAAAAGGGTTAGGAAATTAGGGATCAGTGCCCAGAGTGTCCCCAAATCTCTGCATCTGTTGGGAAATCACTCTGTATCTTACTTCTGTCTACAAGACTGGGACAGTGTTGCTTTTTTTGCTCACCTCTGTCCACTTCCCCTGGTGATCATCACTTTTTGAGGGACTAGGAGTGATGGGCCCGATATACCTGTCTATTACCAGTACCTCGGGTGATGGAGCCCTGACTGGAGATAGAAAATAAAATGATGGCATAATGAAGGGATAGCTGAATTCATCAGACAGATCATACAGATGATCGTGGATTTTTACACGCATCCTGCTCAGTTTTCCATGCCCCAGGCTGAGTAAGAAAGAGGAACTGTTGTTCTATGCAAGTTCAAGTAGCAGTCAATAGAGAAAATTAACACAGCTCCAAGGAAATAATCATTACTCAAGAGATAATCCAAAATCAAACTCAGCATTTTATTTCACTTAAGAATGAAAGAAATATTAGAGTAAGTCAGCATAGATGAATACATCTGTATAGGGATGTTTTAGAGGACAAAGTGTAGACTTCCTTCATGGTGTGTAAATGTCCAAATGCTCCAATTTCATTATGCATCTATGTGTCTGTTGCAAACATTCCTGGCATTGTTCAGATCCCCAGGAAAAGTTAATAGGTATTAAAACCAAAAAGTATTGCTCAGGTGTTAATTTTGTTTCATTCCAAAATATATTTTTTTTTTTTTTTTTTTTTTTTAGGCATCAAGCCGGCAACTCCAGAGATGCTATCAGCAAGTCTCTCCCAGAGTCGCATCTTACAGACATGCAGCATGCCACATGCCAATGTGGTAAACGGTGTCAGCACCTTGCAAAGCAAGTCCTTCTAATTTTTGGTGTTAGCCTTTATTCTTTGAGAAAATGTAGTGGTTTTTTGTGGTTTTTTTGTTTGTTTTGGTTTGGTTTGGTTTTTTTGTGGTTATCCTGTGTGAAAGTTATAAAATATTCCTGTGGAGTTAGAACCTCCAACACTGGTGAGAACAATCGGGGCAGCAAAGACAAGAAATAAATGGAGGTGGGAAGTTATTGAAGTTCTGAGTTCTGCTACAAAGTTCTGCATAATTTAAAAAAAATTAAATTAATTGATGTTCTGAGAATCTGGAATTTACTGGCTGCTCCAGAAACACTGAAGAGTATTAATATTTCTCCAATTATTTTTTTTCCCTTCAGGTCAGAGACTTTAGCTCTATGTACAATATCTACTGAAAAAGCAGCCTTCACTCTTAACTGAATTTCCTTGTTAAGTCTGATATTTGTGAGCAAAAGATATCATGAGATAGTTTTGTTTTGTCCTTGAGCAATTTCTTAAGCCAAGAACAACCATTCTGAATGTGTTTGGGGTTTTGTTTTGGGTTGTGTTTTGATTTTTTTTTTAAGCTCTGACCTGTGTACTTTCCTTGAAGAAATTTTGTGCTGAAGCTAAACCAAGGTAGTATTTTGTCTGAACATCACTTGGTATTTACATGGAAGCGTACTTTGTAACAGAAAATAAGAGACTGGCACATTTTATGTGGCTCAAAATTACATAGATCCATCAATTTGTTGTGCCACTTAATTCCAGCTGGATTGTTATTTGTTTAAGTTTGGTCCATTTACCATCTTGTTTATGTGCATCCTCGTTTGCTAAGAAATAGGATGGCTGTGGCTGGTGAAAGTGACTGTTGGTTTGTTTTCATATGTTGGCACAAGAGAGACCATATCTCCTAGGAGATACTCACTCTTGGGTACTTTCACATATTACAGACATGGATTATGAGATGATGAAGGCATGTTTTTATTGTGTAGCAGTAGAGAATAACTGTACTGAGTTTTCTTTTTGGTATTGCCCAGGTAGCCTGACCCCTTGCCTTTATAAATTCCCGGAGCATGCCCTGAGCGCCAGTTCCTGTGCCCTCAGCCACAGCTTTACGCCCATGCACCAGTCCCTCCTCACAGATGATCCCACTGCCACAGACTTCAAGCAGGAGTTCCGCAGAAAAAGCAAGTCTGTCGAAGAGCCCATTGACATGGACTCCCCTGAAATCAGGGAACTGGAGAAATTTGCTAATGAATTTAAGCTGCGGAGAATTAAGCTAGGTATGTGCTTTATGTGTGTGAAAAAAAAGCTGAAAAATTCCAGTGAAAGCCAATTATTTCCAAATGTTTTATGGTCTAGCCTCTGCAGTTGTCTAATCATAACTCTAATCCTGCCTTGCACTGCCAAGCTTTCTCTGTTCCTAGAAGACTTGCATGGAATTAATGAACTTCAGTTTTTTGTAGCTTAGTACATAGAAAGTGAATTTAAACTTTCCTGCCCTTAAATTACTTAACTGCAGAGAAAATTATTGCTGTTCATTAAATCAGATTCAGTGCCAGGTGCATTATTTTGCACAGTCCCCAATTTTCTGCAGCTTAGGGCAGCACAGGCTCTAACCTCTCATAACCATCCTCTTCCCCATGAAGTGCTTCATCTGATGGTGCAATGTCATTTCAGTATACAAGAAGGGTGACATCCGTGGCAAATCTTTCATACCAGGAGAAAGCTTCTTTTCCTGGTTTATTTACTTGTGCCAAGACACAGGTACAGAAGCAACTGATATCTTTGTTGCTGTCTGATAGCTACCGGGGTTGATGCAAGAGGGATTGCATTAGAGAGTCTCCAGTGAGGTGCTTGTCTTTCACTGGACAATCTTAGCTGAGGTCAAAGGTGGACTGAGGTGGTCTTTCTTGCCTGTAGGGAATAGAGGTACATTGCAGAGTAAAAGCATGTCTTGCCCTTGTTTGAACTGTACTGAAAAAAAGTAACACCCAGCGCTACAGATTCAGCCCACTTAAAATATTGGGTATTCCAAATGGAGAGTTGCAATTTTGATATTATTGCTTATAACATTACATTGTATCGTTACAAAATAGGGCATCCCTCTAGCTTTAGAAGTGTAAAAAATTATTAGGTTATTACCGGTATCTATGCATTACCTCAACAGCTAGTAAGCATTTCATTTGCGGTGTCAAAATAAGGACTGAAATAAAAATTTAGGCTTTAAAATAGTATTTGCAACTTTGTCAGTTTTGCTGTATACCATGTATTTAATGTCAGACAGAGCAATGGAAAGGTTTGCAAGGCCTCATGCTGTTAAACGCTGTAATCATTGCTGTATCTTCATGCTGATTTTTTGAGGGAACAGAACTTCCTCTGATGGAAACAAATGACACAGAACCTGTAAGACTGGGTTTACTGTTCTGATGGGAAAACTGCAGTTTGCACAGGAAAACTAATCTTGAGCTTTACAAGGGAAGACAGAGTTAATATGGGCTGTGGGTCTGAGACTGAGAAGCACAGAGTTAGTGCAATCAAAATGGGGGCAAAATGCTGCCTCGTGAGACATTTAGCATCTAAAGAGATCCTGTCTGTTCTGGCACAGAGGCAGAAAGGGCTGATGATGAGCCAGACCCCTGGATATGGCAGATACACATTCCGAGCTCTGAACGGGAAGCTGCTGTTACAGAGTCAGTGTCTGCATGGTAACTGCAGCATTTCTCTGATCGCTTCAACTTTAGCCGTTGCAACAAACAACAGGAGACTGGCAGGGCTGCCAGGGATTAGTTTATTGCCATTGCACCATCTATAGAAAGAACGATAAGGGGTATCTGGATTCTTCTCTAATCTCAGAGTGTAAAACTCTACTAAATCAGTGTAAAACTCCACTGAAACCAAGAGGAGACTGAACATGTCAGAGTGAGCCACAGAGACCTCTGCAGAAAGCCCATCCTGGAGAATGCTGCAGGCACACACTGTTCATAAGAGTCATCAGTGACGGGCTAAGCGCCTCAAGGCAAGTAACCATTTATAGAAAGCTCCACAGTGACTTTTTTCTCCTTTGACAGGTTATACACAAACCAATGTTGGAGAAGCGCTGGCTGCTGTGCATGGCTCTGAATTCAGCCAAACTACTATTTGCCGGTTTGAAAATTTGCAGCTGAGTTTCAAGAACGCATGCAAACTGAAATCAATACTGTCCAAGTGGCTGGAGGAAGCAGAACAAGTAGGAGGTAGAGAATTGAAATCCTCTGAATGTTGTTTTGCATTTAAACCAGAATCCTATATACATGTTGAAGAACTACTATGTGTCTTCCATAGACTAAAGTTTTGTTTTACATTAAGGCGTGCTTCTATTAAATTTTGGTTATCTTTTTTGGGTGGGCAGGGAGGGGCAAACAGAAATGCATGGAGGGTACAGAATAGAAGAAACATTACTTGGCCTAACAAAAGTAATTTCTGTCAGTCCCATCCCAGCAAACTAACTCCACCGCAATATGGGAAACATCAGAGCTGTTAGAATCTATCAGACAGCCCATTTAGCAACATATGGGGATTCTTCACTACATAAGACATATGGCCATGGGAGAAAGGATTTCAATTCAGCAGAGACAGTGGTCTTTAAACCCTAAAGAAGAATATCATGGCATAGAGATTTTTGATGCAACCTTTTTGTTGCTAGGGGTTTCCCTTCTTTTTGCCCAGTTACTTTCCAATTGCAGAAAGAGTCATGGGGTTCACTGAACAAAGTGTACTTTAGAACAGGTCGGTTGATTTAGAGGAAATGGGTTGCCTTAAAGAACAGCCTTTTCTGCTGGATGAATTGTGATGCTGAGAAGCAGTATGTCTGGAGGTGACAGCAAAAGCCAGGACACTGCTGTGCAGCACTCACCTAGCATCGGAAGAAAGAGATGATCTTAATGCTACTTTTTGGATTTGTCATTGTATTCAACAGTAGGAAACCTTGTTAAACAGCTGCTTCTGCTGCACGCTTTGATTTCCTTTGAACCAAATGTAGAAAGCTTCCTTCCCCTGTAACTGCACTGGAAAACAGAGGGTCTCCTAATGTGGCTGGCACATTGAAAGAATTACTTGTGAGGGAGTTGTAGTGGGTAGCAGCTACTGACCGCCTGAGCAGCGTTACAGGCTTGAGCTGCAGGGTAAGATCATGCACTCAGTCAGCAGCCTCTGAGAAGGGAGCGGGATGGAAGAAGCAGATGAATAAATGGGGTTGACAGCCAAGACTGTATTTCTGCAGAAAGAGGGGGAAGTAGCCAAGAGGTATGGAAATGGACTCCATCTCCCTAGATCAAACCCTGCAGGGTAGGAGGAACAAGGTATGTCAAAGGAGGGGGCTGAAGTATGGCTCCACAGCTACATAGGCACAGAGCCAGCACTGTTTGCAGCTTTACCCGTGGCACACCATTTTTATTTACACACATTTAGTGCTGGAGGTAAAACAATGAATAACCACCTGAAAGAAAGAAGTGCTTTTATGTGTGGTGCTGCTTTTATTCAGTGGCATTATCTGTTAGTGTTCTTCTGTCTTCAAAGAAAGGGATGTTTTTCTGGAGATGATTGTGCTTGTTTCCATTTCTTATGGAAGGCAACTGCTGGGTTTTGTTTTTAATACAGCTTTATACAATGAAAAAGTTGGAGTGAATGAGAGGAAGAGGAAGCGCAGAACCACCATAAGGTAATAAATATTTAGGGTGTTATGTATTAGAAACAACTTTGGCTAGGATGTTTCTTGGGTTCAAAATCAAAGTGTTATTTTCTGTTAATGAATCTCTATAGCTAATGCTTCAAAATGTTTCACTATTTTGAAACATTCTAGTGAAAAACAACAGCATAACCCTCCAGAACCCCAATTTGCCCCCAAACCAATACTTTTCCCAGTTAATCTTTTTTCAATGCACAACAACAAACTTTAATATGAAAAAATATTTTATTATAATTCTGCCCAGATTTTATGATATCTATATAGTGAATAAGGTATCAGAGCACCCTTCTTTTCATTTTGGGAGGTTCTACATTATACTGGAATAAATTGCATTATTTTTGGAATAGAACTAAAGTCTGAGAAGTTTGAGGGTAAGCTCTTACATGGCAGATACACATACACAGATACGGCATCCTTATCCCTGTCCTCTGTCCCTGGATTCTTTGGAGTTCCCAAAGAAATACTTTAAGGAGCTGAAGTGATAAAACAGGCAGTTGTTGTGAGAGACAGCAGAAGGAGGTTCCCATATCTCTGGTGGCCAACATCTATCATCTATCTAAGCCTCATCTCCATGTGGAAATCAAGTAGGCTGGTCAATCATATTACAAAGCCAAATACCAAATAGGCAAATGGAGTATTTCCTTCTTCTTTAGATATCCCAGACTCTCATATCCTTTGGTGAAGAATTCACTCAGGGGGCCTCCAAGGAGCTGTAGTATTCTTCCACAGGAAGGGAATTTGGCTGCCTCTGGGCACAACCGTGGTGCTGTCAGGCCCTACCTGCTACAGTGAATTGCCTGTTCCTTTAATAGGGATCCTTCCCAATGTGCAGTGGCATCTCCCAGAGATGTAGGCTGCTCTATAGTCCTACAGCTACAACATCTACCACCTTCTCTCACAGTCGAGACCCCTTTTCTGAGTCATACTGCTTTTGATATAAGGAATAAAATGGTGTGAAATTTTTCTGACTTTTGAATTAAGTATGCCTCTGAGGGGATGTTTCTCAGTTAGGAGTGAACTGTGGATGGGAGATGCTTCACAGCTCATTTGCTCATCACAGCACCTCACAAGGGATGAGGCTTTACTCTTGGGAGGCCAGTTTCTCCTCTCAGCTTCTCTACAAGCCAGTAAGGATTGGAGCAGCAGTGCCAAGACCTTGTCCAGTTTATGTTGGATGGCCTGCATGAAAGCTGAGTTGAGACCACCTCTGTCCTGGGTGTTTTTTCCTGGCTAGAGGAGCCCACTGAAGACTGCTCACTTACCATTGTGGGTTTTGGTATTGTTTTTCAAAAGCTATTGAGGAAATCAGTCCACCTGTTAAGAATTTTTTAATTATTCCTGCTTTTACATCTAACCCCACTGCACTGGGAGTATCAAATATGACAGGTTGTCAATGACACAGATAACTGAGGCAAAATTCAGGACCAAATACCCTCTAGTAAGAAAATATTAATTGTTCCTTCGAAGACATATAGGACCTCAGTTTGAGGACCTCAAACTAATCAGGACTTTATCTGAACTGCAGCCTTACTCTTAGCATTTCTTAATGGATGTTTGAAGGCAAACTAGAGGTAAAACAAAAGTCCCACTAACAAAATTAGAGCAAAACCTACTTAATTTGAATTTGTGGAAGCTATTCTATTTTCTACTTTGATTAGAAAGCTTAAGAAACTGTTAGTTAAAGCTAATGTTTTTTCTATACTTCTGTGTGTGCAGAACATCACGCTATTAATTAGGTAGTTTTAATAACGACACTAAATATTGCAAAATAGACCTATAAATGAAAGACCAACAACATATTACAGATTAATTAATGAAATAACTACAACTCCAGCAGATACTTTGTGTATTTCTGTAAAAGAAATAACTGCACCTCATTTCCAGAAAAATGCATGAAGTGCCCTCTTGTGTCCAAAGAAATTACAGCTACTGCTGAAGCCAGTTTTTGATATGTCCTTTTGGCATGTTGCAGATAATCTTTGTTTTCTGAAAATATGTAACACAGACGTGAAGGAAATTGTATGTGAGAATAAGAAAAGATAGAAGTCTTAACTTATTTCGTTTATTGAACCACTAAACTTTGTTTAGGTGTTCAGGCTCGTTCTAATTCCTGTGATCCCGTTCATATCTACCGTAGCTGTACGTCCTCGAGAGCATTAAAAAGCACAAATGTTTTATGATTACCGCTGAAATTGTACTGAATTTGATGTGCATTTTGTCTTTAAATTGTGCTGAAATTCTGCATGATGCCATGCTGTTCATGGCAGCAAAGAAATACAGTTTAGTTTAAGCTCGGTGGGTTTCCTTTACATAGAAAAAAAAAGGAAATAAACCAAGTCACTATCTTATGTGCTCTTAGCTGACCCTTCTTCTGAACTAGTGGTGAAAGCCTGAATGTGTCAGAAGTTTTTTAAGGTGTCATTTTATCCCTTTATCCAGCATTGCTGCCAAAGAAGCCCTAGAGAGACACTTTGGAGAACAAAGTAAGCCTTCTTCTCAAGAAATTATGAGGATGGCTGAGGGGCTCAATCTTGAAAAAGAAGTTGTGAGAGTTTGGTTTTGCAACAGAAGACAAAGGGAAAAAAGAGTGAAGACAAGTTTACATCAAAACGCCTTTAGTTCTATTATCAAGGAGCATCATGAATGCCGGTAAAGCTTTCCTGTGCATAGATGTGGGTTTCTGGTTTGCTTTTTGTAAATATTGTAAATACTATGTCATTTTAAAAAAGAAAAAGAAAAATCAGTTAACCACTTGTTTCTCTTACAAGCTAGTCTGCTTCAGATGTAGTGTGTTGTGGAAGACCTGATTTTAATGTAAAAGTTTGGAAACAAATTAAATGCTACTGCATACATTTAAAGAGGTGGAGGTCTCTGTTTAGCTTCAAGTAACCTATTATGCATTATTCAACTAGAAATACTTTCCAAGTCGTCCAAGTACTTGCAGCTTCCCTGTGCTGTGCCTTTCTTGCACCTGGGGTACATTTAATGGAGAACCCCATGTAGGTACCCTAAGCATCAACAAACAAAGTTCTGTGTTCTATGTGAAGAAAGGTTACAAAGCTTGCTATCAGCAGCTACAGTTTTGAAAGAACTTTGCCTCTCCATGTCCATGCATGTGCTGTAGCCCGATCTCACGTTAACTATCTAACTGAGCCAACCTTTGTGAGACTGTATGCTACTAGGCACATGACACGGTCCCGTCTCCATTGGTGAACACTGAGCTCACCAAACTGAGCACCAGTGAGAAATTAGACCTTCAAAGAAGACAAGGTGAATAAGTGACCTTAAACAAGGAGTGGTGACACTGCTGAATATCTAGTTATAGGCTAAGGATGGGATGCGCCCATAAGATCTTGTGGGACTGCCACTAGGTCTAAGAGCCAGGTAGCAGAACGTGAGCTGAAGAACTGCCAGCTCAAATTCAGCTACATGCTCACAACAGCTGTACACCTCTGTGAATCATTTCAGGTAAATGCCATGAGAAATGTGCCATAATTGCTGTCATTATTTATGGTAGAGTAAGCTGTTACAAACAGCTAAGTACAGAGGTATCAACACCCACCAATCCTACTGTGTGCTCTGTCTCCAGCTATCACTTGATTGCCTTAAACGGGCACCAATTTTTTTTTTTTTTTTTTTTTTTTTTTTTTTTTTTTTTTTTTTGTTATGCTTGTTATCAAAGGTAATTCTTGCTAATTTATTATATGCCTTAAAGTTTGATTTGGACAGGCTTAGCTATAAAAATTTACCTTACCTTAAGACTTTGTGGCTTGAGGGGGTAAAAAATTAGAGAATTATCAGTGTTTATTGCACTGCACATTCCCACTCTCCTATTGTCGTCCTCTAGCCTAGAGACAATGGGGGGGTGGGGGTGTAATGACAGTGCCAGAGTTCCACCTATCAGAAAGACAGGCACGAGAAACTGAATTTAATGACTGTAGTACTCACCAGGGATAGATTATCCAGCCCTCTCATCAGCCTGCTCATTGTTATTAGAATAGCCCATTACCATATATGTATTTTTTGATTGTTTTCCAAGGACCGAAATCGAGTGCATGCAAGTAGTAATAGCCAGATTTATTTTTCCATAAAGCAGACCTGATGATTTAGAAAGTGTCTAGATAATAGGCCCACAGAAAGCAAAAGGAGTTTAATGTTCAAGACCACTTAGAAGCAGTGTGTACAAGTTAAGTGCTCTCTCCCTAGTGTACATTAAATTATCTCCGATACCTATTACAGTGACCATAGCATATTCAGCTATGGAAATCAGGCTCCTGGATTTAAAAAATATATATATTTATGGATGAATGCATTGCTATAACCCCTTAATTTAGAAAACTTGAAGTTAATAACTCAAAGGGGAGAAATTGTGCTATGTACTCTCTTCAGGCTGTTCTCATCACTAGCGTAGCCAAGCTACAGCAAAGACCAAGCTGTAGCCTTTATCCACCACAGGTGTATTGGCAGAGCATGAACTTTCCAAAACGATGAAAGATAAATACAGTTGAAATTAGCACTCAGTGGGTGGTGGCATAGCATTTGTGTACCTTTCATGTGATTTATATTATATCTGTTGAAACTACTATCTGATCTATATGTTATTTATAGTCTAAATTATTTTCTAAATTATAAAAGGCTTCCTAGAAATGCTATAAGCCTGTACTTCCCAACCCCTGCATCCAATAAAATATTCTTACACATCTGGTATTCCAGGTAATGGTTTGTAGTTGTTTTGGTAACACTTTAGTTGTGTATCATGCTGATGTGCATATTCATTTTAGCATGCTGTAATAGTTAAATCAAAAGCAGACTTACCATAAAATTGCGATTTCTAGTCTTATAGAAAGCCTTACAAGTGAAGGCCAATTGCCGAAGCATAGCAAAATAAAATTAAAGGTGACACATAATGCCATTTCCTTGCAAAAGAACGGCAAAAGGCTAAGTGGAGGAAGCAGCCACCATTTAAACACATACAGCTGTTGCCACAGAAATACAAACAAATTAGAGTGGAATTTTTTAAAGAAAAAATGCTGGATGAAATCAATTTAATGTGCTGCAGCCATTAGACTTAAAGTGGCAATTAATTTTTTTTTTTTTTGTAGGAATAACTTACTGGGCAATGGCCATCAACCACTCTTGATTGGGGAAAAACCCCTAGGTTAAGACTTCTGAGGGGCAGCTTTATAAACCTGCAAGAGTTTAGTTTGCCATTTGACTAACGTGGGCTACACTATTTTTCTTTGATGTCTTTGTGGTTTTTTTTTCTTGCTCTTACTTTTCCCATAGTAAGTTTAGGCAGGGTGTTAAAACTAAAATAAAGGACAAAACAAGATGTTATGACAATGTATAAATCTGTGGTTCACCTACCTCCAAAGTACTTTGTAGCACTCTGTCCCCCTCATATGAAGGACATAACAGACCTACAAAAGACCCCTACAGAAGCAAAGGTCATGACCAAAGGTAACTGTTCTAGGTTTAACGTGTGTGCACTGAATGCTACAGTGGTCTACCAAATTATGAGCTGTATTGAAAGGTTGGATGGAGGCAAGCTGTTTACCATCTTGCCTAATGTAAGACCTAGGAGTAGACATGAAACTGGAAAGAAACTAAAGAAAAAAGTGGTGGTTCTTAATGTGGTGGGGACAGATCTGTGAAAATCCTCTTCTAAAAAAGGTGGGTGACAGTTTGCTAATATGGACAAATTCACAGATGAGAAAGCCACTCAAGGCTGTTTTATATAGAGGAACTTACATATGGCTCTGGAAGGGCTCTGAACTGAAAATAGTTAGAGGTTGGAAGAATTATCTACATTTATCTTGTTTTCATATTTTCCTGGGCATTGCTTATGAGCACTTCTGGAGCAGGATTCAGTCTGCCCCAGTAAAGCCATTCTTAGCTGCATGCACGACTGCATTGCTGTTCTTGGATACAGGACTTTCAGATTCAGTTGCTATTAAGGTGTCACCAATGATAAAGGAGTTTAAGGATTGAGTGAGTAGTTTTTTAGTCTGCTAAGAGTGATTTAATAGGAATCTGTTTCTAAGTAGGGGATGCAATTCTGTTATAGGCAGCTACAACATACCAATTATAATTGAAATAAATATAAGCAAGCCTGCTCACTCTGCTACTGAAACATTTTTATACAGATTAGAGCTGCAGAATTTACAAGGTAACTGTTAACAGGAATACCAGATAGATATTGACAGCAGCCCTAGTTCAGCAGTCTTTCTAACACCAAAAAGCAATGCCTTTATTCCTGTTCATCAAAGACCCCATAGATAGTAGAAAGAATTCACAGTAGAATTATGTCCAATGTTGACAGTCATTAAAAGGATAAAGTGCACACAATTCAGAAAGGGCATAAGCCTTGGTGTTCAAGCAACATATAATCAATCAGTAGTTTTATACCTAACTAATTTCACATTATGGTTTCTCCAACAGTACTTGTGAACCCACTTACAGGCAGAAGGGAATGCAAACTTCATGAAGTCTTCACTGAATGTTGAGTTTAAGCCAAAGGCCCACAAGCAACTACAAAAAATATTATGCTGCTTTATAGCTCAAGTCAAAGGAAAATTTATCAGAGCTAACAGGAGTCCAAAGCAAGCCCACTAAGAGACTAACCCTACAGCGGACAAAGTCATTGCGGAATAAAAAGCCTTTTATTAGATTTTTACAAAATAACTAGTAAAAAAAAAAATTCACCTCATATCAGATACATGCAATATATAAACTTACACGTTCCAACCCACTACCTCATAGATTCATAGTTTGTCTATTACTTCCTTCAAAGAGAAAGAATTCCTGCATTTCTAGGCCAAAAAACAGATGAAGGCTCACCTACGTTTCTTCCTTCTCTGCTGACTTTAATCTTTAAAAAGCAGATGGTGCAACAACTGTAGATTCACAGAGGTTATGGTTTCCTGCTACACTTTTTCTAGCAGCAAAGTCTCTTTATGAAGTTGGTCCCCTCACAGTTATCCTGGTTTCGCTCTTGGGAGGTATTTTGCTTTCCTTTTTTTAAAGCCAAGATGAATTTGTTGTTTCTGTTCATTGAACGGCCCCACTAAATTAGCACAACTGATGGGCAAATAATCTCCAGCATAGTAAGGGCTGAGAACTTCACACCATCTGGGGAGTCATAACTGGGAACTGCATTCTCAGACTCTGTCATCCGTTTAAAATATCAACAGTTCTTATTTCATTAGTCCAATACATTCCACTTATAACTAGAATCATGTTGGTGCAGTTCAGAGACCAGTGAAAAACCTTCACAGAACCAGAACACTGTTATTATAGTGTTTAGATAAGTAATTATCAGGTATCATCCAAAATTGTTCTCAAAACTAAAGTTTAGATTTAACTTATCAATGTGATCAATTGCATCTTAGTAAATAATACAATTATGCACAGTTATCTTCCATTACGAAATACTGTAAAATATTTACAAATGTTTTGGGCAAATGTCCTTTTAGCAAGTGCACAAGTTGCATTTCTGAACTTCAGCACTGAGTCCCATCAAGTGTACACAGAGGTCCCACCACAGTTTTTTGTGAAACCATCTTAATTACTCACCTATCAAAGACTCATTCTGAAAAAAAAAAAAAAAAAATCACAAAGATACAAGATTTATATACATAAAGGCACGGCAAT